GATAACTGGTCACATGTTGAACTAAAAAAAATAAGTTTTTTTCCCTTTGTCTCGTATGATGGTATTGTCAGTCATGCCGGATTTTTTTGTAGAATGTTATGATTATAGTTGATTAATTAAGTAAAAAAATTTTGCTGGTGACACGTTTCAACGAGGAATGAGGGCGCTTTCCAGTTGGAATTATTCAGCGATTCAGCCATTGTTCTGGTCAGCTGTCACGAATCCAACAGGATCCCGTCAATGATCTCGGCATGAATGTTGTGCTTGTAACAGGCGGTACGGGGCTCGTTGGTAGAGCCATTCAAAATGTTATCGAGCACGACAAGAGGGAAAACGAAAAGTGGATATTTGTCGGATCCAAAGATGCAGACTTGTGGTAGGTTAAATTGAGTGATTGAGGTTAGATCAACCGAGTCGCTAGCGGGATTGCAAAGTATTGTCACTTACGTGACATTTTAAATTAATCAAATGACTTTTCGCAGCGATAAGGAGAGCACACGGAAGTTATTCGACGATCACAGACCGACACATGTCATTCATTTGGCTGCCATGGTCGGTGGTCTCTTCCACAACATGTCGCACAACTTGGACTTTCTGGTAAATATCCCGGAGGACACGATATCTTGCATGTATCTCATCATTTTATTTTAATATGGCCTTACTTATGATCTTAATATTATGTCTTTTTCATTGCAGCGGAATAACATACATATGAATGACAATGTTCTGCACACTGCTCACGAGTATGGTGTCACGAAGATTGTTTCGTGCCTCTCCACTTGTATATTTCCCGATAAGACGTCTTATCCGATAGACGAAACTATGGTAGTAACTAGTAATACATAGATACACCGGCTTGTAATAAATGTATGTAGATCAGAATGTATTGTATGTATTCTAGGTTCACAATGGACCGCCACATCCTTCGAATTACGGCTACAGCTATGCCAAGCGACTCATAGATATTGCTAATAGAGGCTACTACGATCAGCACGGTAGACTGTACACCAGTGTGATTCCTTGCAACGTATTCGGTCCGCACGACAATTTTCATCCTAGCGCCAGTCATGTAATACCTGGTTTAATGCGAAGACTTTACGACTTGTGCAAAGATGGTACAAAAATAAGTTTTGTGTTTAAGCGTTATTTAAATTTGTTGTCAAATTATAGTATTTTCCGTTAGGAGCAAGTACAGAAGATAAAGTATTCACCGTATTGGGCTCTGGCAAACCCTTGAGGCAATTCATCTATAGCATAGACTTAGCGAAATTAATAATTTGGGTGCTACGAGAATATGATTCTGTGGAACCAATTATCTTGTCAGGTAAATATTCATTTAGACTTGATATTATTTTCCTAATCCTTGTTCTATAATTTTTCGGTAAATATCAGTGTTGTCAATAGCTTTGTAGCTGCTACTATCCTTACTGTTCAAAAATGTTGCAATAGTACAGTTATCAGTATTGATTAACTTTACCGCAGAAATTGCTAAAAAAGAAAAGGTAATTTTCAGTGGATGAGGCGCAAGAAAAATCGATAGCCCAGGTGGCGGAGACGCTGGCGCGAACTTTCAAGTTTAAGGGGAAGGTGGTATATGACACGTCGGCAGCGGATGGACAGTATAAGAAAACGGCAAGCAACGCGAAGCTACGAAAGTACCTACCCGATTTTCAGTTCACGCCTTTCGAACAAGCGATTAAAGAGACAGTTGATTGGTATATAAAGAACTATGATCGAGCGAGGAATTGAAATAGTTGGGTTGCAAAATTGCGTCATAATCTATACTTTCCACTGCGATAATTTATACTTCCAAGATATGAATTTCAACTCATTGGAATTCAGATACTAATACTAAACAATATAATTGTTACTCGTTGCAAATGGTGAACGATAAAACTGAAGAATGTATCGAGAATCGGCAGGTATTAATCGTATAATTTTATCGTATTGTAAAAAAAAAGAACTATTTTTGAAGTAAATTATCTTTACAAAACGTTGCATTTGTCACTCGAGAAGGAACGAGATCGAAATGTTTTGTTAACCTTTACAGACGAGTTCAATCGAGGTTCCCTAAAATCCGCAATAATCTCGGTGAGTATTTTCAGACTGTTAAATAAACATTTCAGGATATGTGGATATTTTTATTGATCGGGAAAGTTACGTCTGCCGAATGCGCATACTAAAGATAGATCCAGGCGAACACCTGGCGCGCTGCATTTATTTTCGCTCGTTCGAGGCACTCCTGAAGTATATTTTATAGGTCAGTTTGCTCATAAATTTGACCAACAGATCCGTTTATGTGTATTAACCACTGCTGCGACGTGAAATATAAACGTAATTTCACAAGTGTATCGTAAGCAGAAAATTACTTTATCGATGATTTGTTTATTAGTGCTTGATATATTTCTTGCTACAGTTATTTACTATTTCACGAATGTCCTGACAGATTTTAGAGTCGATTTTTTTTTTAATGAAAATGGTTTCTCGTAAATTGAAATATAGGGCCGCAAATAAAATCGTCAAACTGCAACTTGTCTTTAGTGGATTTTTAATTCAGCCTGGGCAGCGATCACGTAACTTTTCCCGTAGAGCAAAAACATAAAAAGTGAAAACTTTCAGGTAACCATCTCTTTCCATTGACGTTGAATAGAAAGAGACAGTCACATGAAATTTTTCGCTCTTCACGTTTCTGCTCTAAGAGAGAAAAGTTACGTGATCGCTACCCAGGACTTAATTAAAGTCTCAATTAGCAAAAATGTCCGAAATGTCTGAAACGTCGCACACATGATATAAAGATGTCAGCCTTATTTAAATAACGAACATCTATATCAAGTTTTTAATTAATCTATATCCTCGAATCGCAAAGCCGAATAAAGGGACGATGTCCGTCCAGTCGTAAATTACAATTCCACCGATGTCCTTTGCCCATTGTAATATACAATCCTATTTAATACGGGGACAGGGAGGAGAATTTTAATTAGCCGACGTCACTACAATCGGCCTAGATCTCGAGAACAATGGACCGGGAAATAAAAGATCGAACGGGTGAAAAAAAGGTCACGAATAATTTTTGCAAACGGCGAACGACCGCAGTGTCGTGTCGATCGATTCGGGCGGAGATAACTATGCGCGTGTCTTTATTGAAATACGTTTCCGACCCGCGACACGAAAGCACGAGGGGCCTTTCGCCCCGGCGCGGCGGTCGTTTCCCCCGAGAGAAATGAATCACCGCTTTTCCCGAAACGTTCCTTACGTTCCGCTATTCGTGCGACGTCTCCGTTACCACGATCGAGTCGATCGATCTCGAGCGAACGTAATTCACCTTCTTGGTTCTTACGTGAGAGATATAATTATCGGTCCAGCTGCGTCTCTCGATTAAATTGCAATCAATTCTTCAATGAAAACTTAACGAGGTCGCTATTTTCCTTGCAGCTCGTTCATCTTCAGCACCCTCAGTAATAATTACGTTGAATTCGCCTTGGCCAAATTATTAGGCATTCTATTAAAATGAAATTTTTTTGCAAAATATTATTTATTTTTGAAAGAAATAAAATATCACTTGGCGCTAACAATTTTCTTTTATTTTTATTCAATTTATTAAACAATTTTTAAACAATAGAAGTCTTTCGTGGTATTAGATTCGGTAACAGCATAATGATTATGAGGGTGTCCAATTTTGACCAAGGTTGTAATTGAATTGAATAAAATAATTATGTGAAAATGCAGAAAGAGGCTTTATCTGTTTGCAATCGTAATATTGTAAAAATATACAGATATTTTAAACTTTAGACATATATAATCTTACAATGTGCATAATAACGCTTGCTCTACAGTCCAGTTGCCATAATTTGGATTTGATTGATACATTAACATATCAATTTTTTAATCTGTAGAAAATCTCTTGGCTATCGCTAAGAAATATAAAAATAACAAATAAAATAAGGATTATTTTTTACGATCCACGTACGACGTTCACAACTACCCTCTATCTAGGCGTACGCAGTTGATAAATCTAAACATGATTATCAATGAATGACGATTTTAAGATCGGGGAGGAGAGTGATTCAATCGTCGTCCATAAATCACGTACGCGCGATAAGATAAGGGGATGCTGAAACGGAAGTACTCCGATTACGTTCCCGTTCCGTGCTCGTGTACGATCACGCGTAATCCTGTCTGCGTGAGTTAAGACACTGAATAAGAAATCTATCTAATGGTCTGTTTCTACCAATGCGGATTAACTTTAATCTCGGCTTAACTTACTCTTTATCTCTCTCTAGTTTTAAGAGAATTAGATAAAGATGAAAGAAAAGAGTTAAACCGAGATTAAAGTCAATCTATATTGGTAGAAGTGAAAAAATAAATAAACCCCAAAGGGGAAAGAGTCATTTGACGCGACGCGCTAACTAATAAACTATTCAAACTGCCGATCGACCTGCCGAGCGCACTTACGACAGCTGAATCAAATAAGAAGAAGAAAAAGAGAGGCGCGTACGCGAAACAAAGAGGCGGAACAAACGTTCCCGGGGCGCAAAGCGACGCGGTGCAACGACGCTCGGCGTCGAGACGCAAGCGCGCCTCGGCGGCGCGCCGCGCCGCTGGCGAGCGGGGGCGGAAGGACGGTGAGGGGGAGGGGAGCGGCTTGCCGCTTGTCTTGGGTGCCACCTCGGAGCCGGCACGGGTGCACGGTTCAGTCAGTCGCGCCTCGGGGTGGTTCGATCCTGGTGTGTGTCTCGCCGCTTCGTCGGTGTGTGCCAAGATGTGCTCCTCTCGCGGTGGTGGCGGCGCGGACGCATCGTGATTACGCGCCCTTGCGGCACGTGGCCGGTGGTAGCGTACGCTGTGTACGCGACTGTCGCTGACGAGGTGATTTCGATATCTCATTTAAAGGAGAGAGAGAGAGAGAGTGTGTGTATGTGTGTGCGTGTGTCGAACGGGACATGACGTTAAGGAGGCACGAAGTTCCGCGGCGATCGCGGAAAGACCCGGTAGCGATCGGTCTACCCTCTTCCGTCAACTCTCTTCGCGGACCTCGATAACGTACCCAGTGGACCGAGAGAGGGAGAGAGAGAGAGAGGAGAAGAGAGGAGGTCGACGCTGTTCCGCGATTTTTACGTCGCGGAGACGGAGAGGAACGGAGTGTTCCTCTTTCGTGGGGGAGGAGGGCACGCGGGAAGCGTGCTACTCTTCGGGAAGAAACGCGTCCGCATAAGCAGGCGCATTCGACGAGCGCGAGGGGATAAAGGGACGCCGGGGATCGCGCCGGTGATATCGGTTGCGCGGCTGACGGAACCGACGCCGAGCGTCGGCCGAGCGCCGACACGGCGCGCGGCGTCGTCGTCCACGCAGTGTGAGCGCGCGCCCCGCGCCGAAACGCGTGGCGATCTTCGGCTCTGAAAAACTCGGAGGAGCTCGGTCAGGTGGCCATCGATCTCGGGGGACAACGGAATTAAGAGTGCCGCCGTTGGGGGTGTGTAAATATTATGTTCAAAATATAATCCTAGATATATGTACGTTAATGGAAAGTTACTTGGATATCGCTTGATTGGATTATATTTGATTTCCATTTGAATATACGCGAGTATCCTTTAATTTTCATTGAATTATAATTGACATAACAGTCGAAATTTCGAAATTATACTGCTCTTCAATTGTCGTGGTTAGTAGAGTTTCAGTTTGACTATCGTAAAGTTGGAAATCATAGTTAATTTTTAATTGTTATGACGGTTAAACTCTCGGCTGATGTACTTAGCTATCGACTTTGTCGAAAATGGCGTATTTGGCGATAAACGCGCGATTTTGACAATAGATCGTAAATAATTACGTGTGAGAAATAATCGGACTAAATAGAAACTAATCTCTCGGCTTTGTGAAATAAAATCGTTGCTCCTGTTGACTTCCTCAGTCTAAAAAGACAAACGATGTGTTTGAAATCGTTAAAATCCATTCAAAGTCCAAGTTACGTCACCGCGGAGATAAATAACAAGGTGATAACAATTTACGACAGCAAAAAATATACCAAAGCGAAGATAAATTCGTCACTCGTGGCAGTTCACGCATAACGCGTGCGTGACCGTTCTCCGGCGTGTGATAATTTAATTAGGCGATATCGATTATATCATTCGCGCTCGCGTAGGCTCGGCGAATTAGCATAGTTGCGCGTCGACGAGCTTTGTGTATTTTTTTTCCTTCTCTCCGAGTATATTTTCGATTTAACTTGGTACGGCGCCGGCGGATTCCTTTGCCCGCGATTTCGTTCAGATGGGTATCTTCGTGTCGGAGAATGTGATCGAGAGCGAGTTGATACTATAAACAATATGAATATTTTCGACGCATTGGCTTTTTTTTAGTCATTCCACAAATAATGTCATCGAAATCAAAAGAGGAAAAAGAGAAAGAATAGGACGAATTTAAATTATATCCTTCCGTATATGTACTCGAGGTTAATCTCGATTGATTTTAATTTATTTTTAATATGAGTGAAGCTTACAATGTCTTGTAATAATATTTTTTATTTTTGCAATTAAATATACATGTTTTATGCCCCGTTCAGGATTATTTTCTCGCGCGTAGAAACATCATCTTTTTTCTATTTTTCGGGATGCTTGTTATTATAAAGATTTATAAATTCTCTTTACATTTAAATACAGGTTTTCCTCCCTACTGAAAGTAGCTCGTTGAAACCTTTCACAAGCCGTAAAAGCGAAGAAGCGAGTACCCTTGATTCATAAAATTTTTTTTCCTAAAAGCTAAAATCTTCTTCGAATTTCTTTCGGTTAGCGAAAATAGGTACTAATGTAGGTCTTTCATAAAAGCGAAGTGGCATAAAGCGAGCTTTCGAAAAGCGGGAGATACCTGGCAATATTTTATTTGCCCGCACAAGCTCAAATTGATGGCGCACCTCTTGTTATCGATGTCTCGGAAATGCCAATTGTTATTCTATACCCCTTGTTGTATTTTTCACAACAACGTCACGATATAAAATACGCCGGCGACTAAATAATTTGAATGTTTTCGCTGCTCGATACTCCGCTTTTGTTGTTGACTCCGTTTAAAATTTCGTCGGATTTCTAAACGCTTTGTAGAAACGGGGGCATCGAGAAGAAGTAAATTTCCATAACTTTTTTGTACGATGTATACATTTTGCTGCCTTCTTTCGCCTTTCAACGGAATTTTGAAGCAACAAAACGAGACATAAAAAGTTTGGAATCCACATCTTATTACGATTTTAAAAATAAGCGTCGCAGGATTGCTTAATTAAGTGAACGAGTTTGCGATAATAGCGTGAAGCGAAAATCGCTATTGCGAAAAAAAAAGGAAAATTTCTACAGCAGATTCTTTTTTCTACGGATGAAATGCGAATGCGAAACGGTTAATTTAATACACTAGCATTTACGAGTTAATTATGCACTGAAATTTCGTTACGCTAAAATTTTGTAGTTTATTGTACGCGACTCTCATCGATATCCGTGATTACACATTGATGACATTCGTATTACATCGTAAAAATTGTTACACGGATATTACTCGCGCTCGGCTCGCTCGTTACACATTTTACAAACGTCCATTCATAAAAGTCGTCGATCGTGAACGACGCGGGGGATCAACAAAACGTGGTTTCGCGGCATGATTTACGAGAGTGGAAGAAAAAGAGACCGAGATATATACTCCGCTACTACTCTGGCAGGAAGTTCCTCTCGCACAAGTCAGAGATACTTAACTCTATAAACGCGACTCGACCTCTTTGAGATACGAGCGAGAGCTCGTGGCGTGCCGTTTCCTTCAAGTTTCCTTCACAAGCAAAGCTCGGACAATTTAATTCGCCGTTTCACAGTCGGAGTAGCTCGACCTTCTCCGTTCGCTCCGTTTATTGAACGTTATTTTCAAAACAATTTTGTCGACGACATCGCGTATTGTGAGCGGATTTTCAAGCAATTACAGCGAATAAAGACTTATTTAAACAATTTAAGAGAGAGAGAGAGAGAGAAAGAGAAAATTATGTACAGCGATAAAGCGTCTATTATTATCAGGAGAAATACTTTAGTATTGAGAAAAAAAAATTTATCGGAAAAATTGCTTCCGTGCTTGAAAATTATTTATAGATTTTTTAATCGACACATAAAAAGTGTTAGAAATGTACATTGCAAATTCGACATATAGGATACATATCGCATATCGAGAAGAATACTGTCATAATTATAAAAAATTCGATTTTGAGTTAAGCCTGTAAAAAGTATATCTAAAATGTTACGTGCTATTAATATATCTCACAAGTCTATATGCGAAATTCGCTGCACGAGGCAGAAGAGTGTCGTTATTCTTTTAAACTGGTTATGTTGCGGCTTCCTGGATGAATGTGTTATGAGTGATAAGCGAATTGACAAGTGAATCACCGCCGACCGCAGACCTCGTCAAGAAACAGTAGAAGTTTTATTATAACAAAATATCGTAATTGTAATTGCGTTAGTTAGTTAGTCTCACAATTCAAAAAATTATAATTAAATTTGTTTTCCTTCTCTTCTGAAAATTGTGCGGTTTTTATGATTATTTTGGTGACAGGGTATTCTTCTCGAGGTGCGACATGTCAACGAAACGCATTATTTTAACAAAAAATTTATTACAAGAAGTCACCGAAGACGATCTTTCCGTTTATAGCGTAAAGGTCTCCTATACACATTTATGAAGGAATGGGATAAAAGTGTTCCGAAATCGATTTCTTGCAGTTCCAAGTAGTGTCATCCACCTCTGCGGGAACCTTCGGTGGAAAAGCTCTTGCAGAACGTTGAAGAACATCGAGTGCCCGGTGTCGATTGACCGTGATCGTTGCCCAGTGTTATCGGTGAATAATTAGTGAGTAATCGGGCGACGATTATATTCGCGCCGAGCGGCGCGATGCGGCGCCGTGTCGCTCGTCGGCACGCCGTCGGTGGTAGCCGTCGGGAGGAGGCCGTCACGGCGACGTGCGGCGTCGTCGGCAGGGCCGCCGAAGGATGGACGACGAACGCGATAAGAGTCACGGTTACATCAGCTGTCAGTGCGCTCGTCGGCGCGGCACGCGACGCCGACGTCGGCGTCGCCGTCGATCGCCGCTGCTTACTTGCCGCGATCGCCGGACAGTACGGGCGAGTCGCGCGGTGATTCGCGTGTGAGGTGGAGGACTCGCGATCGCCGGCACCTTGGATGGAAGACGACGACGACGAAGGCGGCGACGACGACGCGACGCGAGATGCCTGGAATCGTGGTGTTCCGACGACGCTGGAGCGTCGGCAGCGACGACCTCGTCGTGCCCGGCGCTTTCCTCTTCATCCTGCATCTCATATGGTGAGTGGGAATAAAAACGGCGGTTATAAAATAGAGGGATAGAAAGCGAGGGGGAGGGGGGGATGTAAAATGGAGCAGAAGCTCCAGAAGCGGAATGTTTTCGGTGAAACGCTTCTTTCCGGTGAAAAGTTGTAAGATATATACTTAGCGGTAAGCAAGCCAATTTTTCTTTCATTCTGACGTATCTAGATCTTTTTCTTATTGTTAGAGTCGTAAGTACACGATACAATTTAAGTACCGAAAGATTGTCTCGTATAAAAGGTTTACTCAGCTTTGCTTTTCAACCTCTTTCTAATCCTATTGAAAATAAAAATAAAAGTGAATAGATTTTGTACGTGTCTCGCTTTGTACGATTTTCGTTAATTCCATTTTTGCAAGCACATAAAGTTTGTGACAAACGCAAGATTCTTAAGATTGTCGATCTGTTAAATAAAATAATTAAAATAGAAAAGAGATTAGAGCCTTTGCAATTAGTTTTTAATAGACCCTGTTAAAGCCTTATATAATTATATTTCTTTTGGTATACTTTTTTTCTGTCTTTAGTTTTTGCGATGTAATTGAAATTACGTTTGAATGGGAGCAATCGTTGAAAAATATACATATCTTGCGTTTTTTACATAATGCAAAGGTCATAAGGTGTGTTATTATGCCTTATTATAAATTTAGATCTATTCAATGAACCAGTTGCGTTTAAAGCGCGTGCATAATCTATCGTGAATTCTCGAAAGAAGTATACGAAACATATAATTCGAAAATATCGCATTTAATCGTTAATGAGTCGACGTGTAATTTATTCTGTAATTTAGTCATAAAATTATCCTTCATAATTATCCTCACATGATTATCAAATTTCGAGTATACCTCGCAAATTTTGAAGCGTTATTTAATATGTTATTACTTGAAGCATTTTAGCAACAGTTGTTTCGACGATTTTACAGCTTTTAACAGATTTTAGAGAAATTTTCCAAGATACTTTGTGTTACGAGACATTTTTCTTCTTAATGTTAAATGCTTTTTCTTTAAATTGAAATCTCTTATATATATATATATAGAAATTACTTACATTTACACGAACAGACTTTATTCAATTCCTTAGAAACTTGATAGTTATTTGTCAGTTACTTAGAGAAAACCTTAATTACTCATTATCAGAGAAAAAGCTATCTCTGATTACTTAGTCGATTAACGTCGCAGATTCTGACACACGTTCTATACAGAATGCTGAATTATATTTGCTAAATTTATCAGCTCTTCCAATTAAAAAAAAAATCAATTTCATTGGAATGTAAGTCATCTTGCTAATTTAAACATTAACGGATGCTATTAGCATGTGTCATCTTCGACGGGTTCTCGGACTCGACCTATATATTCGATTTTATGTACACCACCGACTAGAATGATGTAGCGCAGGTCCGTCAAGTTAAAGCAGTTTACCTGGAACATGAATTCTGACAAAACTTGCGAAAGTGGAATTTAAAATTAAAATTCCGCAAAGGAGAAAAAAAGACGCGCAATTTGTTTCCGACAATTTAAAAATTCTCAAGTTGAGATTCTCATGTTTTTTTTTATCAAAGTTGAAAATAAAAATTCGATAGCCTTATTTTTATCTGTCTAAAATACAGTCGACGAGAAGTGTAATTATCAATCGTTACAATTGAAACATGGACTTTCTACATTTAAATCTAACTATGTTTCATAAATGTATCTCTACATTTTTGCCAAAAGAATTTAAAATTCCCACAGGGATCCACACTTGTAAAGTTCGAATTCCTTATCTCACAAACGTCCCGTCGAAAGCACCTTGAATTCGATCTGCTTGTTTGTTGTGTACGTATGTCCACTCCAATTCTGCACGCGCGCTTTTGGCACGAGACCGCGAATTCGATTATAACGTTCGGAAATTCGCGATTCGCGTATTCGCACGTACGTCTCGCCGTCCCGTATTGTGTATGTCAAAATTCTGCCCATTGGCATGGCTGATGGGCTTTGCGATTGCGTTCGTGGCAACGAGCGAAAATAATAACACACGGCATATAAACGGGGGATCATTTTCAAGAGTGCGAGCGCGGCCTTGATTATTCTTGGAACGGGGTATTGGTTTGTTATTTTCAGAGTTCGTTGTGTGTAAACGTAAACGGGTTATACGGATCTCCCTGTGTCCTTTGTCATTCGCAAGTCGGCACTGTATCAGGTGTCTCCCCCGGGTATCTTGCGCGCGTATATTCCTCGAGCCAGAATGGAAATCTGTGTGGCGATTGATATAGCGCGGATATAGTTGATTGTACTCCATTCCTGCTGGATAAAAAAACATTAAAAACTAAAGCTGATCATTGATAAATATTGCAACGTTTCGTTTCATCGTCGATAATATAATAAAAAGTAGACCGCGAATCTTAAGAAACGATAAACGGAGAAATGATATGAAAAATTTTACTTCACACGTTGTCCAATTAAATAATATCGACATTGTAAGTCAATACAGTTTTGGGCACTTAAGAAAATGAAAGAAAACCATTGTATCTTGGTTCGCCCGGAGCTATACGGGATCTATTTTTCAGACCCCCGATCGTTATTCAGCTCGACAAGGCAAGGGTGCTTCCGAGAGATCGATTTTTATTTTATACGCATATTTTCTGACACGACGCAGCCGGTCATTGTTTTTCAAGAAAAGTCGGTCGCGCGCGAGAACATTTCTCCCGTGTATTATTAGCGATGATCGAGAATCGCAGCCTGCCAATGACGTGTACTGCCGCCGAAGTAACATCGATTTAATCCGCTTAAATATCAGCGGAATGTTAATCCACTTAATTTCTGACCGATTCGATCTTTTCATAAATTATACTTCTGACAGCTTTGGAAATCGGGCCCGCGCAAATTTTTCTCTATGCGAGGAATCGCGGTGAACAAATGGACGCAATTCGAAGGAAAGCCGATCGCGCGTTTATTTTCATTTCATCGGCCGTGTAATCGGCGTTTCATTCGATGCGTCGCAACCGAAATATCGCTCGTTAGAAGCTTTTTGATTTTATCGTGCAACAACAAACAACTCGATCGCTCCGCTGCAATCCGATCGAATAGACATTTTTTTGGAATAGCATTTGCTAATAAAAGCTTCCTTCGCTCATTTTCGAATAGCGCGTTGTCAAGCGATTCTCCGTTTTCACATCTTTCAATTCTAATTTGCCAGAAAGTTTGACGCCCAAAAAAGTTAATGTAGTTTGCACGCTTTAAAAAATTGAAATTCAACCAATGTTAAACCGAGCGGAACCAACGTTAAGGGCCAGTTTCACAAGTGTCGGTTAACTTTTAATCTTAGATTAACTTACTCTTCGTTTTTTTCTAAGGGGGACGTTAGAAGGAGACGAAGAGTGAGTTAATCTAAGATTAAAAGTTAACCGACACTTGTGAAACTGGGCCTAAATCGACTAAACCATTTCTGTACCTGTAAAAAAAAAACTGCGCATTTTTCCTTCACACGAGAGACTTTTTTTGAAGCATGAAGCATTCCTTCGAGACATCACCCCTTTTAACTCGAATTTCAAATTAATCCACGGTCGTTTAATTATTACTTATCAGCTGTTAATTTCAAAGGCGACAGTTGAACGTGATAATTCGAATAAAAGATTTGAATGAAACGTTAATGGGATCAATAGCGGATTAATTCGACGAACATATCTCTCTGGGGATACTTCAATTGAATACTTTTGTTCCCTTCTGAAACAAATCTGAGCGAGTTACTCCGGTTACTCGTCCTGCAGTACGATCGCGTGTGGCGTGTGGCGTCGTTCCGCGTTTCCGCGTTTCCAGGTTTCACAGCGCGGCCGGTGTCAGCTGATTGGTTCGATTCGGTCCGGCTCGTCCCCGCTCGTCCGCGTTCGTTCAACCTTCTTCACTTCAGTTCGCGTGCCCGTTCCTCGCTCGCTCGGTCGGCGCGCGTGAATTCCTCTCCTCGATGTCGCGCGTCGCGTAGGTTATGTCGCCACGTTTGTCGACGACGCGGACGCCACGGGATGCCGGGCCTGATCGCGTTCGGCAGACGATGGAGGGTCGGCAGCGACGACCTCGTGCTGCCCGGCGGTCTCTTGTTTTACGCCCACCTGCTCGAGTGAGTTGTCCTGCTTTTATCTTTGTCGCTCTTTCGCGAACCGAATTGCTCGTTTAAATCAAACGCGAGAAGTGGGAAGGGGGGGGGGGAGAACGCGGTAACGATCGAAAGATTGAAGGAAAGGGGAGGAAAGGCCATTTAGAAATTTAACTTTTTTCTTTTTTAACTTTGCCTACGTTACTCATTGCGCTAACGGATTATACAAATGTGTGAGTGCCCGTCTACAGTAGGTGTTTTAAGCCCTACTAAGCCTTAAGAAATTGTTCAATCACAGTTGAATTTGAGGAGAATAATTGACTGCGATTGGTCAATTTCTTAGGGCTTAGGGCTTAAAACACCTATTGTAGACTGGGACTAAGTGTCTATCTACAATAGGTGTTTTAAGCTGTAAGCCTTAAGAAATTGTTCAATCACAATTGAATTTGAAGAGAATAATTGACTGTGATTGGTCAATTTTTTAGGGCTTAGGGTTTAAAAACACCCATTGCAGACTGGGACTAGTACACAAATACTAAAACGGATGTTGATGAAAGTTATCAAAGGAATTAAGGCGAAGCTTAATTTCGAAAATACACGTTTAATCGTACTGTAATCCCTGAAATTATTGGATCGTTAATACGAATTAGATGCAGATCTACTAACTGGTACGAATTTCATATTGCTATCGGCTATTAAAATACTTTCATTAGCATACCGCGGAGTTTTGCGCGACGAACCGAGGAGAGTATACTCGCGATTCCGTTAAGCTGGCTTTCCCGGAATTTCCGTGAAAATCCGTCTTCGCAAGCCGACCGACCGTTTTTACACGCGATGTAGCCGCGAGTTTTCACGCCGAGTAATTGTAGACGTAAGAAAACTTTCTTCGCGAGAGCACTCGCCGGAAGGCTGCGTCTTC